CAGTAGCTCTCTGTTGGTGGCAGTGTCACTAAGATCATGGCTGTTACTGTATATACAGTGAAGCCTTCACCAGAGATCATTGTGGGACCCAAAGAAGAGGCAGATGGAATGCACTGGGGTCACCACCTTGGGAGGGTCCTTTTTTTTTTAAGCAAGAGCAGAGGGCTGTCTCTTAGAAGCCACCCACCTTCCTAATGCTGTGTCCCTTGATCAGGTACTGAAGTGCCTTTGAAAAGAAGGATTCCCAACAGACTGCTGTCAATCCAGACAAGGTTTGCTGGGAGAACTTCAGGAGAAACAGGAATTCTTTGCAAGTCCTGGAGAATCTCTGGGCCACCCCTAAACTTCAGTGAGCTTGTGATAATGATCAAGTGGCCCAATAATGAGCCTGATTAGCCAGCTGGTAGGTTCTCCATTTCAGCCCAATTTCACCACTGTCACAGTGGGGCCTGTTTTCATACCAGTGAGAACAGGATTCCTGGCTTTCCCCATAACAATGCAGGCCCACCCATTCCAGCCTGTGGTTGCAAGGTGACCGAGTGTAGGAATGGCATATTCTTGACACTTTAGAAGGGTTGAACACAGATATGGAAGATTTTCTTTTCCCAGTGAGTCATGAATCTTTGGAATTCTCTACTCCCAGAGAGACTGGGTAAGGCTAGGGTTACTTGCTTGGAGCAGATAACACTGACAGTGGGACCTGAATGAGGTCTACGAAATTCTGAGGAGCATAGATAGGGTTGATAGGAATAAATTTTTCCTCTTAGCGGAGGGGTCAATTTACCAGGGAACACAGATTTACAATAAGGGCCAGGAGGTTTGGAGGGGATTTTAGGAGAATTTCATCCAGTCAGAGGGTGGCAGGTATCTGGAACTCGGTGCCTGAAAGGCTGGTGAAGGCAGGAACCCTCAAGACATTTAAGAAGTATTTAGACATACACTTGAAATGCCACAGCATACAAAGGTTATGGGACAAATGCTGGGAAATAGGATTAGATTAGATTAGATAGGAGTTTAATGACCGGTGTGGATATTTCATAGAATCCCTACACAGTGTGGAAGAAGGCCATTTGGCCCATCATGTCCACACTGATCCTCTGAAGAGCATCCCAGCCAGACCCAACCCCCTACCATGTTGGGCCAATAGGCCTCTTTCCCCGTTGTAATATTATGCCTCTAGCTGAGGAGGTGGAATCATTAAATATATTCGAGGCTGAGATAGACATTCTTGAACTACAGCTAACCTTTTACTAACTAGAACCTATGGGCAGGGAGTGGGTTGGTTGTTCAAATATTCTGGATAATCAAAAGGTCTGCATAATCAATGTAAAAGTACACACTAAGTAACAAAAGTAATGCCGGGGTATACACGTCATTGTTATACTTCATTTACAGCATAAAACACTGAAATAATTATGAAACTTTGACTTAAATAAAATTTACCGGCAGAGAGCCTTCTCACTCGTACCCTCAACTGACCACTCGGACATCACAGTATTTGAGGAGAAATTGACTCGAAAGTGAATCAACTGTCGATATTTTGTGCGGCCATTCGATTGAACAAGTATATTTACATGGAGGTAAATAAATTAAAAAAACTATAATAACTGGACAGAATAATACGGTAAACTTTGCAGTATTTTGAGGTACATAAATCTTGCCAGTTTATCAAGAGTGCTGGTTCACAAAGTGCCTGTTAAAACAAAGTTTGCTGCATAAGGGAGTCACAAGGACCAAACAGAAAGGTCAAGTTGAGACCAAAATCAGATCAATCTTGATCATATTGAACGGTAGAACAGGTTTGAGGGGCCATATGGCCTACTCGTGCTCCCATTTCTGTGATTTCATGTTCTTATCCCTGTTCCTACTACTTACAATCTTATGAGCCATTAGGAAAAGCCTCAAATAAAGATTTCTAAACCTTAAAACAAAGACTATACTAATAAAAGCTGAAAATGCAAAAAAAGTCAAGTCTTTACAAATTGGGGGAAACAGCAAATCATAAATAGCTGAGTGAGCCTGTTAAGTTTCAAATTAATGACTGTTAGAAAACGTAAAGAAAACAAAAAACACTGCAGCACTCTTCCGAATTCATAATACCAGGAATCTTTATCAATTAAATGTAATGCGGAAATACAGTTATCTGTCAGCATTGTTACATTTTCAGTATTTTCCTAAAGTTATAAACTAAGTCACAATTTTTCATGCGCCCTCATGTGTTATTTTCCTGAAGAAATGATTAACAAATAACATAGAAAACAGTTTACAATCTGCAAGAACCTCTATTAGCATTAAACAAGGACTTCCAAGCCTGCTGTTCACAAATTTGTAGTAGTCTGGCAGGTGATGAGTTATTGGAGCCACATTGCTCTGAATAATCTTATTTATTAAATTCACTGATCGGCAGAGTGGAAATCTTGTAGCTACTTAATTGTCAGAGTTAGAACAGTAGGTTGGAAAAATGAAGATATCAAAGTAATTATCTAAACCCCCCAAATGATAGATCGAGCCACATTTTCCACAAAAATCACAGCCCTCCTGAACGCAATCATTATGAAAGAGCTAAGCAGCTTCAAATTCTCGACGCAGAAGGTAAAGGCTGTTTGAGCAGCAGCTGGAGAGTTGAAAATAATTATAGCATCAATAGTTAACTAGGTCTCTTAAGAGATCAAGCAGCTTCACACCCACAGGTGTAGGCTCTCAATCGAAGGCAAACAGCATACTTGGGTTGTTCCACTGCAGTGAAACATGTTTGAGGAGAATGCAATGGGGTGTAATGGATGAGTTTGGAAATGGACAGAATGCACTACAGGATGATACATAGCTTGTTGAAACACGTCATCAGATGAACTCGTATAGGACATTAACCTAAAAAGATGGCATTCTTCCTCCCCAAGCAAATGCCATGTGCAAGAGAAGTCTGTTATTTGAGATATTCAACCGTGCTTTGATTGTGTCAATTTACAGAAGCCTATCTGAAATGGGGAAGAGAAAGCATTCTATCCGTCCTTCAGAGTGTGGGTAGCATCAAGAACAATAGATTTACCCGAATGATAGTACAAGCATCCAGTGAAACAATGAGTGAGCGGCAAGGAAGTTAAAAAAAAAATCAGTAAATATGCCACCACAGACAAAAGATTCTCAGTAACTGAAGAAGGGTAATACCCGAAACGTTGACTGCTCCTTTCCTCTAGATGCTGCCTGGCCTGCTGTGTTCTGCCAACCTCTTGTTTGTCTGCCCTGACTAACTGATTACTGTCTATGTAATGATGGAGATTCAATTCCCTGACCTGGGACATCAGTAGAGATAGTCATTAACCTGGGATAATTAAGTGATTATGCTATCCAGACTGTACAGTTTCTCTGACATGTGCTGGGAACATGTAGCAGCTCATTATTTCAAAGGTTTAACATTTCCTAAGTGACTACAGTTAAAGTAGGTATGGCAACGTGCCAAAAATCAGATACATTTAATTCCCTGTTCCCACAATTAGAAGCCAAATGTGTAAAATTAAACCAACTCCCCACCTCCCCCTCTCCCCCACCACCACCAATCTCTCTCAAGGAGAATGAAAATTACAAGAAGCACATTTTGCACATCAGGTTCAGTCAGGGTACAGTGTGTTCACAGTGTTTACAAGGTTGCACAGATATTATACAGCAAAGCTTCCACCCAGAGATTCTGCAATCTTGTACATGCTTGGGCAGCACTAAGATAGTAAAAATAATTGGTTTTAGATCAAAGCATGAGTATGCACAGAGGATAGCGTTGTCATCCCAAATCAAAATGCCTCAAGATTTAGGCCCCCTTCAGGACTTCAGCATATAATCTAGGCTGACACTACAGCACTGCACTGTTGGAGGTAGCACCTTTTGGTTAAAACATTAAACCAAGGTCACAGCTACTTGCTCGGGGGAGCAGAGATTCGTGGCGCTAATTGATAGGCAGAACTCCTAGCTACCATTTCTCTTTTAATCAACACCAACAAAAGCAATTCACTCGTCATGCATATCATTGCTGCTTATGGGATCTTGCTGCGTGCAACCTGGCTACCATTTCTATCTACAAAATAATAATGACAGTGTTTTAGACATTAAAAACAGAAAGTGCTGGAAAAACTCAGTGTGGTTACAGAAACAGAGCTAATGTTTCGAGTCCAATATGACTCTTCTTCAGAATGGAAGACAGGGAGAAATGTGATGGCTTTTATGACAAAAAAAAGGGGGAAAAGGGCAAATGAAACAAAAGGGAAGGTCAGGAAAAGATAAGAGGTTGAAGAAGATAGGACATAAAAGGTGCCACAGAACAAAAGTAATCATTGTAGAGAGGTGACAAAGAAATCCAGAGTGGGTGCTAACAGCAGAATAACAGGTCAGCTCAAACTCAAACCAAAACCATCAAAATGGGATAAGTGATGGTGGAGGGGGTTTATCTTTATCCAAACTGAGAACAGAGAACAGAGTTCATTGTCTGAAACTGTTGAACTCAGTGCTGAGTCCAGAAGGCTGTAAAGTGCCTAAATGGAAAATAAGATGCTATTTTTCCAGCTTGCACCGGGCTTCACGAGAACACTGTAGCAAGCAAACAAGATAGTGTATTGAAACACTAAGCAACCGGAAAGTTGGGGTCCCACTGGAGGACTGAGCAGAGGTGTTCTGCGAAGTTGGTCACCTGGTCTGCATTTAGTCCTCCCAATGATTTTAGAAGAAATTCACTGGCTGTGAAATGCTTTGGAGACATTAAGGACATGATGCAAGTTCCTTCTTTCACAGTCTCTGCAGCTCCGACTGTTTCATCCGGGCTACTGCTCAAACATAAGACCAACACTTTGAATGCTCTGAAGGGATAAAAACAATTTTTTTCCCCTGTTGGAGGAAATAAGTCACACTAGCTATTTAAAATGAATTTAATTGTAACCAGTCAAAAACACAATCAAGGTAATTAACAAATGTTGGGCTACTTTACTGTATATACCAGGTCCTTGCACTGTTAAATTTACCTTTAGTGCCTGGTTGAAGTTATCCACCATACCAAGCCACTGTTGTGTCTGTTTGGCAAACTGGGCAGCCTGAATCTGCAGGGTTTTTACTTCATTATCCAGTTTCCGCTGATTCACATATGCCTGAGCCACTCTGAAAAGGAGATAGCAATGTATCAATCAGCATTCTTGCAGAGGTTCAGAAATGACGGATTACTTATTTTCCAATTACATGGTTATATACGATGAATAATCTTATCAACATTTGTACTTATTTATTTCACTGAACATTCAGAGTCTATTATTTTGCTTAATAAAGTACAATGCATTTGTATTTTCTTAATATGTGTGCTTACACAATCAATGCATTCTTCAAAAGCATGCCATAGAGGTCTACAGCAAGGAAACAGGCCCTTCGGCCCAACTTACCATGTGTATTCCCTGTGCCATCCACTATTAAGACAAGACAGGGCAGCAATGTTATTGGAACACCATCCTTGTCATATTCTCCTTTTAAGCCACACACACCAGCTTGGTTCAAACATAAATTGCTGTTCCTTAACTGTTGCTAGCAGTACCCTGAGATTCCTGATCTAACTTATCATTGGCTATCACCATGAAAGGACTGCAGATGTTACCACTACCTTCTAGGGCAAACTTTCCCGGGTCATTCATGTTTGAAAACAAAAAGTGTAAAATAAAAAATTGTTCCAGCTAACAAGACTCCCACACCAAACAAAACTGAATTCTCACCCAAACAGGTCACAATTGCTTTTCCTCTTGAGTTATAACCACGGGCATCTAGATAGAGCAATGCTTTACATAAGGTTTCACTGGTGCTACCAGGCATTGGGTTGAAGGAAATATTGATGGCAACATATAACAGAAGTCCCGAGTGTAAATCAGAATGTAGCCTGATTTGAACGTGCCATGATAGCCAAATTCAAGCCCCATTTCCAGAGTCACTGGGCTGGATTAGTGGAGCCCCAATCAGGCAGGAGTACCTACAGCAGATTGTTGACATCAGAAAAACAGTTCCTAATTAAGTTTGGGCAAGATGGGGCCAGTGCAGGAAACGTGCCCACTGACCGTAGGAAGCCAATTATTCCTGATCCCACTGTGATTTAATGGTGGCTCAGGGATTGAACAGGATCCTCTCACCTCTCCTGTGCCTTCTGAAGGCCATCCAGCAAACTGTGCTGTGTTTAGTTGTGGCCTTGTGAGGTTGGCGGTGGTTTAGAAAGCGGAGGGACCTTACTGACAGGTACTTTGTGCCTACTTGAGGGACCTGGCATTGGGAAGGGGATGACCATCAAAAGCCTTCCTCTCTGATCGCAGTATATTACTGGCAGCAGCCACTGTACCTGGACAAAGAATGGCAAACTGTTAGTTTCGTGGGCAGGATTTCTTTCCCACCTCGGAGCTTGGTTGTGTGGAAGATTTGATGCTGGCCAGTAAGTGCTTGAAATGCAGCTAATCGCATCGGGCCTCCCCTTCAGAAACAATGCAGGTGTTCCACCAGTTTTTAAAACTGGTTGGAGCAAGCAGCAAGAGAACATGTTGCTGCGATAAATCCAGCCAACTATAACTGCATGAGAAGCAAAGACCCAGCTCAAGAGATGGGATGCGTCTGCTCCTTCTGAAGCAGAAAAAAAAACAGTCTGTTTCTGTCAGGCACAGGATTCTGCTAAGACAAACACCACTTTTTATGTGCTGCTGCCAATGCTGAGAATCCTTCAACTTCTTGCTGTTTCTTTTTGTTCACCCATGGAATGTGGGTAGCACTGGCTGTGCCCAGCATTTATTGCCTGACCCTAGTTGCCCCTTGAGGTGGTGGGGGCTTCTTGAACCGCTGCAGTCCACCTGCTGTGGGTTGACCCACAATGCCATTAGGGAGGGAATTCCAGGATTACGACCAAGTGACAGTGAAGGAAGAGCAATATAGTTCTAAGTCAGGATGGTGAGTGCCTTGGAGGGAAACTTGAAGGGGGGTGGTGTTCCCATGTATCTGCTGCCCTTGTCCTTCCAAATGGAAGTGGACGTGGGTTTGGAAGGTGCTGTCTGAGGATCTTTGGTGGATTTCTGCAGTGCATCTTGGAGATGGCACACACTGCTCCTACTGAGCATCGGTGGTGGAGGGAGTGGATGCTTGTGGATGTGGTGCCAATCATGCGGGATGCTTTGTCCTGGATGGAGTCAAGCTTCTTGAGTATTGTTGGAGCGGTATCCATCCAGGCAAGTGGGGAGTATTCCATCACACTCCTGACTTGCACCTTGTAGATGGTGGACAGGCTTTGGGGAGTCAGGAGGGGCGTTACTTACTCAGTATTCCTCGCCTATGACCTGCTCTTGTAACCACTGTGTTTTGTTGAGTTTCTAGTCAATGGTAACCCCCATATATTGATAGTGGAGAATTTACTGATGGTAACATCGAGTATCAAGGGGCGGTGGTTAGATTGTTTCCCATTGGTGATAGTCATAGCCTGGCATTTGCGTGGTGTAAATGTTACTTGTCACTTGTCAGCCCAAACCTGGATAATGTCCAGATCTTACTGCATTTGCACATGGACTGCTTCAGCATCTGAAGAGTCACGAATAGTGAACATCCACGACCGTCTTCCTACGTGCCAGGTATGACTCCAACCTGCAGCATATTTGCCCCCTGATACCCATTGATTCCAGTTTTGCTTGGGCTCCTTGGGCTCCTTGATGCCACACTCTGTCAAATGCAGCCTTGATGTCAAGGGCTGTCATTTTCATCTCAACTCTGGAATTCAGTGTTTGTGTCCATGTTTGAACCAAGGCTGTAATGGGGTCAGGATCTGAGTGGCTGTGGCGGAACCCAAACTGGGCGTCACTGAGCACGAGTTGCTCGATAGCACTGTTGATGACACCTTCCATCACTTTACTGGATGATCGAGTAGACTAGTTATGCAGTCAATAATCCAAGACACTGTACATTATCAAATTCAAGTTTCACCACCAAACCACATAAGATGACATCATGACAGTTGACTAAAAGCTTGGTCAAAGAGAAGAGTTTTAGGGCTTGTCTTCGAGAGGATTTTGGAGGGAATTTCACAGCCTTTTTTTTCCATTATTCATTTGTCAGATGTGGGTGTCGCTGGCTGGGCCCAGCATTTATTGCCCATCTCTAGTTGCCCTTGAGAAGGTGGTGGGCGAGCTGCCTTCTTGAACCGCTGCAGTCCACCTGCTGTGGGTTGACCCACAAGGCTATTAGGGAAGGAATTCCAGGATTTTGACCCAGTGACAGTGAAGGAACGGCGATATATTTCCAAGTCAGGATGGTGAGTGGCTTGGAGGGGAACTTGAAGGTGGAGGTGTTCCCTTATGAGCATAGCTCATAAACAGATAAAAGGTACGGCTAGGGAAGGTAGAACAAAAATGGTTTTTAGGATGCTCAAGAGGCCAGAATTAGAGGAGTATGGACACAATAAGATGTATTCTGGAGCAACCACATATTACAGAATCACTTCAATTTGATGGGAAACAATTCTGTACTGTACAGAAGGAATGTACAGAACCATAAAAGGTTGCAATGGATTTGGAGAAGGTTGAAAACTCTATTTGAAGATTAACTGGTTAACAATAATTGACTTCCAGGATGAAATATCACCAACAAGCCAGCACTAATGGCGATATGCAATAAGAAACAGCTAACTTAACGTCACTCCAATTAAAGAGGCTTGAAGTGCTGTATGTACACAATTATGGAGATCATACTTTTCGGCTGTGATGTCCCGCCGCAGTTTAGCAGCTTGCCAGATCTCTCTGCCAAGGCTTTTGCACGAGGAACGGTTTGCGCAAGGGGAACAGAGTCTAGGCAGACCTTTCAGAAGATGGGGCTAGAATTTAGAAGGAAAAACAGCGTATTTGTATCAATATTTATGATTCTCATGCTCACAATGGTTAGTAGCAATTTCCCAAAAGATTCCTGTGATAAATATTCTGTGTTAAGATTCTTGCAAATACACAGTGAAGAAGCTATTTCTGGTCCCGCTTCAATTTTTAAGCTACTTTTGTCTTCTTCTTTGGGTTCCTCACATTCAAGTTAATTGGAAAGAGTGACAAACAAAATTATTTTGGCTTTCTGCTTTCCAAGATAAAACTGCTCAGATATAAAATACATCGAGTAAATACAAATTTTAAGAACCTATGCCATTTACTTTCCAGGGTTATTGTCTTTGAAACCCTGAAGCAGTGGCATCTACCTTGACTCAAATCAGCAGGAGGTTGTGCCATGGGATGTGATTAGTTTTGTGCCAGAGGCAGCCACTCCTTAACGTCAGCTTATGAACCGAACTTGAGTGAGCTTAGGCTGCAGTGGGGAAGCTGGAAGGCATGTGAATCAATGCGGGGTGGGGGTTCTACATTTCAATTACAATTGTCAGAGGCACTCAGACCAGGTTGATAGTTTATACATAATCAAAAGGTTTGATTAGATTGTTTGAAGATTTATGAAGCAATCAATGACATGGCCAGTTTACTGAATATGCCAGTAAGTTTGTTAAGTGATAAACAGCTAGCAATCCAGTGAAGTACCAACATGCAACATCAGGAAAAAATGCTCCGAAGCCCAGAAATAAATGATGATATTTGGTCTAAGTCTTCGGAAAACCCAGGAAGGAATGTATAAAACAAGGACAATCATTATGAGGGAGTCACTGGACACTCAGGGACACTAGTGCAATAAGACCACAAGATGTAGAAGACCACAGATGTAGGCCATGCAGCCAATTGATGCTATTTCATCATTCAATGAGATCATGGTTGATCTGATAATCCTCAGCTCCACTTTCCTGCCTTTTCCCCATAACCCTTGATTCCCTTACAGATTAAACATCTGTCTGTCTCTGCCTTGAATATACATTATGACCCAGCCCCTCCAGCTCTCTGCAGTAAAGAATTCTACAGATTTAGCTCCCTCTGACAGAAGAGATTTCTCCTCATTTCTGCCTTAAATGGACGATCCATTAGTTTAAGATTTTGCCCTCTGGTCCTAGAGTCTCCCACAAGGGAAAACAACCTTTCTGCATCTACACTGGTCAAACCTCTTAAGAATCTTAAACTGAAGTTACTGGAGAAACTCAGCAGGTCTGGCAGCACCGGTGGAGAGAAAGCAGAATTAACGTT